AAGATGTACAATTTGAAGTTACACCATATTCTAAGCAGACAAGTTTAACAAAACATAGTGTAAAACTTCAATTAATAGCCGAGTCCCAAACAGCCGCCTTCCTCCTTTACAGGCCTGGTGTGGGGACACATTTTAACAAATAAACGCCTGCTTTAAATAAATGCCTGGTCTGGTTTTTATGGAAGTTCTTTGGATGTATAAAACCTCGTGGGGTCGCTGCTTTACCTGCTTCTAAGTTCCTCAGATCCTTAATACAAATCGGCTATTGCATGGATGCAAAAGAGGAAAAACGACTAATTTAACAAATACATCAATCACAAAGTATTTGTTTTGTATTTCAAACAAATAGGAGGCTTATTAGCAAAGAGACTGATTGCTAACTGCACCACCAGCCAGCCTGGTTGGAATGAGACAATTTGATGTGTTGTTGATACAAAAAGTGTATTTGCTTAATAAAAAAAGCTTTACAGCTATCATTTTGACAGCAAGTTAAAGAATTAGTGACGTGGAGACCTCAGCCTGCAGCTACAACAGGGAGTGAATGGGAGACGACTGAGATTTTCCAATCAATTAAGGATCAGAGATAAAAAACTAAATGTCCACTGATTATGATTTTGACATTTTGAGGGAGAAAAGGCATGTGGCTACATTTTGGTGCCTTTTTTGTGCTTATAGAGATAAATATACGTGACTAGCAGCAGTTTACAAAAAAAATTCTGGTCTGCAAAATCCTCCTGTCTCCACTCTAACTGATCACATCACACACTGGTAAAGTCTGCTAAAAGCTGTAAAACCCTTCACTTTGGAAGGGCATAGCTCCTAAACTAAACATTTTTTTAATGTACAATTTGAAGTTGAAACCAAGTTTGTAGGACAAATGGTACAGGACTAGTTAGATACCAAAAAACGGTGGAATAAATAATAATAATAATTAAAGCTGTGAGCAGCGTTGATCGGGCCCTTGCACGTGTAGCGCGTCGGGGCCGCGTTGCACATTCTGGAGCTCTGCCGGTGCGGCTGTGAATTTGCGACGCGCTTTGGACGCCGCATGAAGGTGTTATACGTCACTTCCTGTGTCCCCTTTGTGGCGCTACATAGCACTTGCCGCTATGACTAGAAATGAATATTGGTGTGTAGATGTCTTCGGGGTGGGAGAGTAATCAAGCACGTAAAGTTTTGTTCAGATGTGAGCATGTACACTGAAATTACAACAACTTCCTGTGGCATGGCGAAGAGTTGATTTTTGACGCCACACCAGGGATACCTTTAGAAGGCACAGCAGAAATTTGAAGTCGTTCTGACTGAATCCCTAGGAGGAGTTTGTTAAAGTACAAAGTGTGTAAATCGGCAAAAATGACCATTAAATCCAAAATGGCCGACTTCGTATTAATTTTAGGGTATGGGTTCTTGAGTCTTTTTTGTGCATCTGGACATGATACACGTATCACAGAAATTTCGTACATGTAGGTGAAACCTTACCCGGGTGCTGCTCTGTAGGGGGCGAGCCATTTTGCCACGCCCATGCATGAAACCCAGAGAATACGAAATTTTTCGCCACTCCTGAATTTTGTGCAGTTTGGTGAGTTTGAGTATGTTTAGGCCCCCAAAATTGAGCTTACTTTGCAGAAAAGAAAGAAAAATAATCCTTGCAGTTTCAATAGGGACCTCGCACGGTTCGTGCTCGGGCCCTAAATAAAGAGCTACAGCTCTCACACTAATAAAGAGCAAAGACAACTAAAGTTGTTTATATCAGCTCACACTGATATGTATGAGGCAATTATCACTGCATTTACTTCTTTCCAGGGTTTATTTGACTGTTCTCTGTCCTCTGATGTGACAGGAATACTGATGCTCATGTTTTGTTTTTCACTGGGGTAAAGGACACACACAAGGATCGGGTTTTCTGTGTCCTCCTGCTACCTGAATACACATCAGCCCAAACTGTCAGTCTATCAGTTAGTTACACTTATCACATCATTGTCAGTGATTCGTGGTGATGGCGATTTTAGAGAAATGATCTTGAAAAGATGAGATCTGATTTGCCGTAATAGAAGTGTTGACCCATTTCAACCAAGAGTGCTCAGTTTAACAGTGATGTGAAACATTTGTGAGGAATAATAGCACAGGAACAGGTATCTCCATAAATGATGACTGAACTTGTACTCGCTTCATCCTTTCCTTTTGATTTTGTTTGCCACAAAAGAACCTTGCTCAGTTCACTCTTTTGCCACCACATGGCTAACTTGAAAGCTGTGCTGTCACTGCTGCTGCTGGTGGTCCAGCATCCACCTATAGGCTCTGACTCAGTGTTCGTCTAGGGCAGTGGTTCTCAAACTGGGAAGGCATAGAGCCACTTCAGGACATGGCTGTTGACTGACCTAAACTTGCATGAATACAATTGATGTGGTGACATAAACAAACAAAAGTGCTCCACTGTTAGCAAGGCGATTTTGCTAACCTGAGTCTTGTTTATTTCAATCAGCTGGATTGTTTATGATTGATACAAATTAAATCCACTTTTGGATGGTGGTGCATGAACATTTATGAATGGTGTGACAGAAAAGGTTTGAGATCCACTGATCTAGGGTATCTGTAAGATCCTTACTTCCCACTCCTTGCTGTGCTGAGCTGAGCTTGGTGTTTCTTTGCAGGGAGGGTCGGAGCCTAGATGCCAAATATCAACACTAAATTTGTAATAGTCCATTTCATCTTATTTTACTGACTTAAATGTTAAATTTCTAATAGTTGCATAATCTTGAAAAAATGAGTATTATTCTTAAAGTAAATAAATTCTGGTTTCTTATCAAACTGTAGAAGCGTTGCTCCTTGGACAAACTGCATGTGCTTCATATGTCTTGTATATGATTGTGAGATGCTTTGAAATACCTAAAAAAATAAAATACCACAATTGTGTAATAACTTCAGTATCATTACTGTTTGTGATAACACAACAGTCAGTAAAGATAGAACGGTGATAGAAATGTTGATATGACCCAGATTTGTTTTAATCCAACATTTATTTTGCTAGACTAAAAGCATTACTTTGGAAATTGAAGGTTCCCTATGTGACTCATGTGTTTAGTTGTGAAAGAATTCTGCAAATTACAAAGCCTGCAGAGCCTCTAAAATTTCCATTCTAACTAGATTGTGCAAGCAAAAGAAAATATTTAAAGTATAAAACATAAAAGTATAAAAAAGAGAAGATATTAAAGGTTTTCAGCCTTTAGCCTATGTGTCAAATTCAGTAGGCAGATAAGCTGAAATCAACTTACACAGTAATCCTACAAATCATACACAAACCGGTATGGAATTGAATCACATGAGTTGAAATTTCATCTGAATGTGATAACTTTATACTTGAATTGACTGAATCTAAATACTTGCAACTTGACTTTGACTTCAATAGTAATGATTAGTGATCTCACTTATACATGGAATTACTTGATAGCCCAAACATTAAACATTTTGGTGAACATTCACTTGGGTGAAAACAGTGAACATCAGAAAAGCTGTTACGGAGAGAGTCATGTTAGCTTGTGGGCTAATAATAAATATAATGCCACTTTAATGCAAGGAAATAAATGTGGAGCACAGGAAAAAATACAGGAAAAACTGCAAGACTAAAACTCACCAAAATTGGCAGGTGGGTTGCAAATTACACCCACTACTCTACTGCAAAAATGACTCATGGTGGCCCTGTAACAGTAAATTTTTAAGTTTTGCACTTATCTGAAACAGCTTGGTTTAGGGTCAAAATACTTTCAGAATTTCATGCACTGGATTTGCCCACTGAAAAAATGTAAAATTCTAAACTCACTTTTCTCAAAATCCTATTTTCGGGAACTCGTCAGACACCATTAGCCCAATCTTCTAGAAACTTTGTCAGGATAATCTACGGAGTCCGTTTTGAAATAATATTATAATATAGTTTATAGAGCTGTCCCTGACTGAGGATTTACATAGTCGAATTAGAATCGTCAAGTCCTGCCTATAGTCGACTGATAATCGAATCGTGTGTGTTTTTGTGCGCGGCAATTGCGAGCCGAAGCTAAACTAAGGCTTATTGTTGACCTTTTTTTCTCTCTCTCTCTCTCTCCTGCCATTCACCGGCCTTGTGCAGAGTGTTGCGTGCATGCCGTGGACAACTGCATGCACGTTCATTGCGGGTCTATTTCAAGTAGCTGGCTGTTTAAAAACAAAATGATATTCTTTGTGCGGTTCATCAACGGTGATAAATTATCAGAAAGTCCCGCGAGGTTCAGACAACTCTGCACAACACTGGTGAAGCTGGGGCTATGTCTCTTCAGCAAGTGTTCCTTTTCTGCCACTACACGCTACACATGTGCACTGATGCCCCAGGGTTACGGTTACAATTCTGGATTTATTCACGCATTTTAAAAACATTTATTTAAAGTTTTTATCTTTTTACATGTTTATTTACAGCATTAAACGTTGAAATGTATATTGTAATAGGCTGTATATTAACTTATTGGGATAAAACTGATAGTTCTATGTAAAATCAGACGTTGAGCACCCCCATATTGCCAAAATGGCATGATCCGCGTTTCACTGCAAAGCTTCAACTGTGAGATTGACAGTAGAATCAGGCTCCGCCCATCAAAGCATCGAATCTTATTAAAAATAATTTTGATAATATATGTCAGTCTGATTCACATAAGACTTGAACCTTCCCTAGCCCATTAGCTTGTGAAGAATGTGTTAACGTCTTTTTATTACACTATGTGTGAGACATGTCCAGTCAAGATTTGATAAATTGATACACTCATGTCTTTTCAGGTTTGAGATCTCAATTAAATGTTTGTGTTTTGACACAAACACACAGTACATATACAGTATTCTTAATGTTGGTATAGGTAACTTCTATACTAAATGACTTTATGTAATTTTTTTGTATTATTGTTATTAATATTTAGTAAAACTGAAACCTTCCAATGCAGACGGTTAACCTGTTTCCTTTCCTTATCCATTCCTCACCGAAGGTGCACCTCTGACTGAGATGACCGTGTCACTGTTCTGTCATAGGACAGTCCTATTGGCTGTGGCCTTATGTTTCCTGCCTTACATCACTTCCTCCCTCAACCTAGAGGATCCCAATGTCTGCAGCCACTGGGAGAGGTCAGTCTCAATGCTACAATAATATCTTTAAAGGCCTTTGACCTCCCACTGACACATGATAACTAATTCTGTTGGCCAAATGTGCAAGGAGCACATTAAAATATATGAACCACCTCTTCATCAATCAAAAGGTTAAAGCTCAATATCAATCTAATGAGCGTGCCTCATTAAACATAAAACATTTAGTAGAGGCATAAAATTCACTGTTAACACATGAACAATTAAACCAGCCTTCACTATGTAATTACCTGAACATAGGGTCTTAATATCGTTTCAGACAAAAGTTTCCCAGGATTGACTACTGTCTACTAACTGTTACCTGAATGTTCATTCCACATTTTTATTTACTTCCCATAATAACAGCCAATGTTTGTCCAGCCAATTCAACAAGCAAACGGCACAGACAGACAGTGAGAGTAATCACCAAAACAAACAGTTAATTTCTAAAGCAACATGCAAACCCTTCTTACAAATAATCGCACCATCACACAGGCTGTGTGTGCACTTCAGCAGAATATGGGTTTTACAATCCGCACACACACTCTATTAGGGGGACTAGAGTTTTATCCTCAAAAGGAAGGAGTACATTAGTAATACACATTCACACCTACACCCATGTTTATATAATTATAATAATTATTATTATAAATGTGGTTGGTAAGATGTCATGCATATGAAGTTCCTGCACTGACAATGATTCTGCTCTGTTCTCTCTTTCTTCCTGTGCTTTAGTTACTCAGTGACAGTGCAGGAGTCGTACGCCCATCCTTATGATCAGATTTATTACACCAGCTGCACCGACATCCTTAACTGGTTCAAGTGCACCAGACACAGGTGAGGACCAAATGAGAGAGAGAGAGAGAGAGAGAGAGAGAGAGAGAGAGAGAGAGAGAGAGAAATGCCAAATCATTGCAGCAAAATATATTTCCTGATTTCCAAATTATTATTATTTTCATTGTTCGTTATTTTAGTAATTGTTTCTTTATTCATTTTTTTCAATCAAAACTGAACATTATTATATTTGTAAAGGTAGTTTGTATAGCTTAGCTGTTGTATTCGGCTGCATATGATTTTAAAGTGGCCAATGAGTGTATATTTTCAAGCTTTACATATTTTAATCCTGAAACCTGGAAATGTTACATTTTTGAGAGCATGACACTGAGGTGAACTGATCCAACCAATATGGGCCGCTGTGGCTCAGTGGGTAGAGCAGTTGTCTGCTTATCAGACTGTTGGTGGTTTCATCCCCGGCTCTTGCACTTGGGCAAGCTACTGAATGCCAGATGTCTGTGTGAATGAATGAGTTTTTGTTTCTGACTAATGTGATGTAGTGTAAAATGCTTTGAGTGGTTGGAAAGACAATATAAATACACACCATTTACCATTTCAGGAAGTGGGGTTGATACACAGAAACAGATACACAGAGTAGAGCAAGGTGATGAGCTACTGTTGCATACTATATTCTATTTTAGTTCCAGTTTTAAAGGTGCTGTGTATTACTGATTTTGCATGATTTATGATTTATAACCCAGAATGGTTTTGGCCTCACAGGGTCTTTATCAAGACAGAGTTAAAAGATTAACGATAGCTGGTTCCATAATAGACACTCCACTCATATAATGCGATGAAATTATGAAACTCTGTCCTGTGTGCAGGGTGAGCTATCGCACAGCTTATCGTAGAGGAGAGAAGACCATGTATAGGAGAAAGTCCCAGTGCTGCCCAGGCTTCTTCGAGAATGGAGAGATCTGTGCTCGTGAGTATCTGACGTGCGCGTGACTTCCCTGACTTCGGTGGTCATTACCCTAAAAAGTAATGATTTACATTATGGGGACTTGAATTTTGTACGTGGGTTATTGAAGTTCTCGTTTAAAACAGAGGAGGCAGAAGAGGTACTTAAAATGTGATTTTGCAAACATTTGTCATTTTGTGACACACATATGTGACAAATTTAAAAGGGAAACACCTGTATAAATGAGTGGAGTAACAAAATGCAGAATGCAGATCACTTAATTCTTTGAGTAAGACAATGATTTGAATTATTTGAAGTTCACGTAACATGACCCCCCGTTACTGCTTGCCTACGTTTAGAGAGAAAGTGAGAGAGCGCATTGCTGACAGCTTCAGGGCTTTTCAGCGATATAAATGTTGTCGGTCAGTGTCTAGTCAGTGTATTTGAGAATAACACAACCCACCTGACCATGACACCGACATCTGTCGCTCTGTTTGACCGTAATTAATTCCCTCTGAAGCGACTGTGAGCTGCACTTTATCAGAGGTGCTGAAGTGAACATTTTTGTTGCGAGATTTCTGTCTGATCACAAGTGTTTTCAATTTCTACCTCTGATGAAGAGCAGCGCACTCGTCTCATCGAGTACAATCCCAGATGGGATTATTAATGTGCAGAAAGTTTTGAACATGACCAGAAAAGCTGCTGAACAAGGAGCTGTAAAAAGGAGTTTCTAACTGAATTCAAATTAATTAAGCCAATTTATCATTGAGGTGAAAAGATGCCACATGCACATTCTACTTCAGACACGCTTGAAAGTATTTAGACTCCGCAGGGATGAAATTAAATGAGTAAAGTTGATCTATAGGAGAATTGTCACCTGAATTTTGTGTTTCCTTTTATAAAAATAACGACATTTCCTCAATAAGTTGGTGCAGAAAAATAAAAACATAAAAGATTTCTGGGCTGGATGTTTCTAGAGCCTGGAAACGCTCCTGAGCAACAGTAAAAGCAAGCTAAGCTGATGATACACAGAGCAACTTTTAGAGCAATCGTGCAGGGCAACGTTGGCGTCAGTGGTAATGAGTAAAGATTACTACCGTAATCCCCTTCCCCCACCACTCCGCCACCCACCCCGCACCGCCGCTATCCGTTCAAAACCTAGTCGGACTTGCCACTAGCAAGATTGCCCAGCAACATTGCTCAAAACGTTGTCCAGTGTATTGTACAGCTTTACATTATTTCAGTGGTTCTCAATCTTTTTTGGGCCAGCGCCCCCCTAGCCATTATCCAGGTCCCTTACCGCCTACCATCAAAGATGACTTTTTATTGTTGTTGTTAATATTGTTATTAAAAACATGGAAAAAAACACATAATTGAATGACAAACATATTAATTACTTTCCCAGGTAACAAAAAAGCCATGTGAAAATTAATTATTTTTCATTAATAATGTTCCTCCCAGAAACTATGTGAAGCCAGAGACTGTTTTCTTGGATGCGGCACTTAATAAGTGGTATGGGGGTACATTCTGGTGAAAATATTAGTTAGGCTCCTTACATGCTTGCTAATAACTTTTTTTTAAGCTGGGTCTCCGACATTGACAGTGTTGTGTTGGACTGATTTGTGCAGCTGTGTTCATGAGGGAGAGAGAGAGAGAGAGAGAGAGAGAGAGAGGGGCGAGCAAGAGGATGTGCTGTGCGAATACTGAATATATTGCAGCTCTGCAATCAAATACAATTTTAAATAGGCCTAGTAAAAAAATTTTAAATCAATATGTGGCAGTCAGTGTTATGTTTGTGGTGGGCCGGCACAAATACATTGGGAAACACTAACTTATCTGCTCATGTTCAAAACCTTCTGCACATTCAGAATCTCCGCCGAATCTCCGTGGGTACTGCCCCCGTTGAGAAACACTACATTATTAGGTGGAAGTTAGGGGTGGGTAATATGGCAAAAATATCATATCACGTTTTATTTCAGGCAGGATCAAAATTCACGATCTTATCACCATTCATACTCGTTGATTTTTAGGAAGTTAAAGTAAAGCTTCTGCATAGAAACACAAAGACAGGGAGGGACTGAATGTACCTTATGCCCTCACCCTGTCATGCAGTCACAGTGTGGGACTGGTTTAGCGTTCAGTGAACACTGTAGCCGGACCAGGACCCAACACAGCCTCCGAGACCGACAGAGGCCAGTTTCACAACATGGAAAACAGGACCAAGGTGGTTATCTTGCAAAGTTGGCTCTTGGCACCATGGGTCTGACTCAGCTAATAGGACAGCTAGCAACGCAGCTAACCAAGCTAACTAGCTACAGATACAGACAGATACAGTTAACATAGTTAACATAAAAAGTAAATGTATCAGTTCATTAAGAAACTTTGTAAATCACCTTGGTATTCCCTGTTGGTCTCTGTGTTTGGTCCTGTTCATCCAGTGATCAATGGGAGGCTCCGGTTCTGGTGCCAAATCAGGTGCCGTTCATTATCCTGGCCTGAAAAGCTCCAGTGCTTGAGTAGAGGTGTAACGTTAAACACAATACACTCCCCAGGTGCTCAGAGCTCCCAGTCTGTGCTGAATCAGCTATGACCACTAGGCTGGCTAACTGAGGTAACTAGATAACTGCAGCTAGTTAGCCACGGTTAAGCTTGATTTATACTCCTGCATAGGGTCTATGTGCGTAGCTATGCCATAGGCCAGGCGTTTATTCTTGTGCGTCAATTTCTCCATCCTTCTGCAATTACACCCCCAAATGCTAGCGGCAGTAGCGCTACAGCGTCCACTGTGTTGACTTTTTGAAAAGTTACTACAAAGTACGGGGCACTTCCTGTCGGCTCGGAGGCATTGCGAGGCTACCCAGCCGAGCAATCACAGTGCACACTTCATTCAGAAGACAGTGGAGGACACGGTAATTGAGACAGCTGACTTGCATTGTTGACAGAGCAGCTGTCAACTGCGTGTGTAGCCACAGAACTAAACTGATAGATTGTGCACTGTAGCACAACATATTAACGATCTCTTTGAAAAGGTAGATCGTGGAGGCATTTTAATCGTCCACATCTCATATCGTAAAATCACACCCCCCTAGTGGAAGTAGCTGGTGATTAAAAAAAATAAAAAATCATAATATCTGTGTGCTGGGATAGAGAACACAGTTTGATTCATGCAGGGTCTGTTTTGTGCCCCGGGACTTCAGAGGGGAATTTATTTTGGTGTGAATAGCCTCTGTTGTTTGAGCAACTATCACATGCAGCTCTGAGAATCTCTCTGAGCTCCTCAACAAAACCCTACAGGAAAGAAGATTTGCCAGATAATCCAGGCATACAGCCTTTCCAGATGGGAGACAGATTGGAAATTATTCAGTTCCAGTAAGGTTATATTTAGTACATTTTCTTTTGATGGAGTTTGCCTCCTACACATTAGAATTTTAAATAATACTGCCAAGCCTAGTTTATTTGAAAGTGACACAAGATATTGAGATTTTCCGTGAAAAAGCTGTGACAAATCGCAAAGAGCCAGATTATGTTTCTCAGTAGTCGGTGGAGACCAAAACAAAGCTAAAAGGAGAGTGAATATTAGATTTATTGTACCATTATTATACAACACCACTCCTATTATTCTGTTTTGTTTTGCTGAGTTTTTAAAAAAACTGTTAGTTCACCAGTGCATTTTCATACAGTGGCACCTCTTCAGCTTGTACGTCTATGTCTGTTTTAGTTATTATTATTTGTTGTCTGCCACGCCGGCTCAAATTCCCGTGAGCAGGAATGAGCTAAAAACATGAAACTTGGAGGAATAACTAGAAATGGTGTGCATCAGCTTTCATAGAAATATGAACTCAATCGTGCTGTAAATGCGGCTTAAAAATGCAAACTTTGAAAGGCCACGCTCCTCACATCGTAAGTCTGATTGACTTGAAATTTCTCACACAGGTGCAGCTCAATGTGCTCTACAAAAAAGCCTCAAGGAATTAAAAGTTGTATAAAGCATCTCAATTACTTTTCAAGATACAGTATGGACCAATGAACTTCGAAAGGGGCGTGGCTCTGGACATAAATAAATACAAAACAGCAACCATATAGGGCTAATCATCACTAAACTCACAGGATATGTTCAGATAGGTGTCCCAGATATACCTGAACAGTTTGATGTACATATGTCACTAGGGGGTGCTACAAGTGCAAGAAAGGTGCTTAGCATCACACAAATTACACTATAAATCACATTCTCCAATGACAACAAATCTCTCAGGATATGTCATCATAAGTAACTGAAACACGCCCTGATAGTTTCATTCAAATTGAACACCAGGGAGCACTATAAATGCAAACAAACTACAGATGATCTAACGCAAATCAGGCTACAAAATACAAAATGTTTGTCCAATCAACACAAAACTTCCAGGATATGTCTAGATAAGGACCTCACACATACACTGCAAGTCTCATTCAAATCAACCACTATGAGGCGCTATAAATGCACAATAACTGGATGTGGAATCACACAAATGAAGCTATTGATCAGAAAATGCCTGTCCAATCGTTACTAAACTTGCAGGATGTGTTTCATTACAATATTGAACCACATGTGTGAAATTATTTTGATGGCGATATTGTGAAAAAAGGTTTGAACCCGGGAATCGCCGCTTGCGGCTATATTATTATTAGAAGCTTGCTTAAAAATTTTGCTTCAGTTCAAACACAGACAGGTTACCAAACCACACTATTAAACCTCCCGTAAGAACACTTTTAAGTGCACAGAATTTTATAAAACTCTATGCAGAGATATTTAAACTTTCAACAGATACACCATCATTGATGACTGGAGGGTAGGTTTTATTTACTTACTTACTAATATGTCAAATGTGTGTTCTGAGTTTGTCATGAAGTTCTGTACACAAGAGCCCAAACATCAACTGACAATAATTAGTTTAGAGCAGAAAACAATGATTGTTTAAAAGTGGTTCAGTCAAGTTATAAATAAAGTCTGATCCTTTTTTTAGTGTTCTGGTCCTTTTTTGGATTAAGTCAAGCCTTTAGACATGGAATTCTCAAGTAAGCCAATTTTCACATCCCAAATAGATTTGCAAGTCCTAATTTTACGAGTCAGATTCAAGTGCTACATCAATTATACAGCTCTGTTAAAGGGAAAGTATAAAGTGAAACTTTATTTAGTTACCCCTACATAACTAATTCTATTGCAGATATATTTTTTAAAAGTCTTTGTGACTGTACTGATCCCAGTCTTCCTGTCTCCTCCATGTCCAGCTCATTGTGCAGAGAGCTGTGTTCACGGCCGTTGTATGGCCCCCAACACCTGCCAGTGTGAGCCGGGCTGGGGGGGCTCCAATTGCTCCAGTGGTAAGTCTCCAGCTGTTGCTGTCTGTTAACAGTTATTTCTTTGTGTGTGTGACTCTTTTCTGTGAAAGCACTCTGAACTTACAAGAGGAAAAACAGACTATGGTATCATATTACTGACTACTGCACTGTACTACACCAACAGTCAGACACACTACACAAGTAAAACACAGTGTCTTGCCATGGGTTTTTGTTAGATTTTTTTGTTACATACATACTATTCAATTAAATTTTATTTATATTGTCTGATTTGACATAAAACTACCGGTTTTCTCCCAATATGTTAATATACAGCCTATTATGATATAAATATCAACACATAATTTTGTAAATAAAAATGTGAAAAGTGGAGCAGTGCTGAGGATGAATTAAGAGATTAAGAGGCTGACAGCTTGGGGGAAAAGCTGCTCTGCAGTCTGGTGGTGCGGCAGCAGAAACTTCTATATCTCTTCCCAGAAGGCAGCAGGGTGAACAGGCTGTGGCTGGGTGGGTACTGTCCTTTAGTATCCTTTGGGCTCTGCAGACACCTCACCTCACCGATATCACTGATGCTCGGAAGGTACCAATGATCTTCTGAGCAGAGCCCTCCGGTCCTGGGCCGTGCACATCCCATGCCAGTTTGTGATGTTTCCAGTCAGTCTGCTTTTTGTTGCTCCTCTGTAAAAGCTGACAAGAACTTGGCGCGGGAATTTGGCCTTCTTAAACTACCTCAAGATATACAGTCGTTTCTGAGCTTTCTTCACCAGCGTGGAGATGTGAGACAACCATGACAGGTTCTCTGTGATGCTGATTCCCAGGAACCTGAAACTGTTGACCTGCTCCACCTCAGCTCTACTGATGTAGACAAGAGTGTGTGTTTTTATCTCCTTTTTCCTAAAATCAATGATCAGCTCCTTAGTTTTACTGACGTTGAGCAGTAGCTTGTTCACTGAGCACCACTCTACAAGATTATGAATTTCCTCCCGATATGAAGTCTCATCGTTGTTTGAAATCCTCTCCGTGTCGGGGGATGCAGTCTTGGGTGTACAGCTGGAACAGGAGGGGGCCGAGCACACAGCCCTGGGGGGCTCCCGTGTTGAGCACTAGAGTGGAGGAGGTGAGTCCGCCAATCCGAACTGACTGGGGTCTGTTTGTGAGGAAGTCCAATATCCAGTTGCAGAGTGTGGTATTTAAACCCAGAGTGCTGAGTTTGCTGATCAGCTTCATGGGGAGATTGTGTTGAATGCTGAGCTGAAATCCACAAACAGCATTCTGATGTAGGTGTTGTTTTTCTCAAGGTGTGTGAGGGCTGAATGGAGGGCAGTGGAGATGGTGTCCTCTATGGATCTGTTGGTTCTGAAAGCAAACTGCTGAGGGTCCAGGCTGGCTGGGATGTTGTTCATTATGTACTGAAGAACCAGTTTTTCAAAGCACTTCATCAGAACGGGGGTGAGAGCCACAGGGCGGTAGTCGTTCAGACTAGACACTGCAGACTTTTTAGGTACTGCAGTGATGGTGGCTGAACCCTCTCCTGAGACAGTGAGATGTTGAAAATATCTGTGATAACATCAATTAGCTGGTTGGCACAGGTTTTTGTACACGGCCAGCGATGTTATCAGGCCCAGCTGATTTACTTATATTCACTCTCTGCAGGACTCTCCTCACATCTGCTGTGGATACTGACAGGGGCCGGTCCTCTGGAGGTGGAGTAGACTTTACAGCTGACTCTTTGTTGAGGAGATCAGAGCGAGCATAAAAGGTGTTAAGTTCATCTCTTAATGTGGATTCACAAATGATGGGGGAGCTCCTGCTTTGGTAGCCTGTGATGTTTTTGATCTTTGGTGCTGTTGGTGTTGAGGTCTCTCTCCAGTTTCTGCTGATGTAACCACTTTGCCTCCTGGATGCCATCTTTCAGTCTCGCTCTGGCAGTGCTGTAAGCTTATTTAAATGATTTTATCGTTTTAGTCATGATGATCAACACATCATCAACACATTTGCTGATGTATGAGGTCACTGATGATGTACAGTCCCATCCAAATGGGGGCGGCTGTGGCTCAGGAGGTAGAGCCGGTTGGCCGTTAATCGGAAGGTCGGTGGTTCAATCCCCCCCCCCCCCTTGTTGAGTGTCGAAGTGTCCTTGGGCAAGATACTGAACCCCGAATTGCCCGTGGCGGCTATTCCGCCAGTGTATGAGTGAGTGTGAATGTTAGTTTCTGTTTGAGCACTATTGTATTGGAACAGTGAGGCAAATCCCTTTGTTTTTGTTGTTCACTGAAGACATTTGGGTTTAAGATCAAAAGATGAGTATGAGACAAGAGTTCAGAATTTCAGCTTTTATTTCCTGGTTTTCACAGGCAGGTTTCTGTGAAGATGATGGCACAGCAGTCTCTGTTTTCCCGTTGCTGAGTGAGCCTTAGTCTTAATTCCTCAATTTTACTCTCCAACGACCGGCCATTAGCCAGGAGTAGGCGGGGCAAACGATAACTAGCGATAACTAGAGGGAAAGCCTTTTTCCAAACATTTTGTGTCACTCTTTTCCCTGCTCGCTTTTCTCTCTTTCTTCTCTGATGTTGCTAGTTATCGTTTCCAGAACTGTTGCACTCAGTCCAGTCCCGGCACTTTCTTTTCCAATATTGATTAATGTATTTCTGTCATAGGTGATCATACTTAGATGAGTTTCCATATTAAATATAGCAAAAATTAAGGGAGCTACTGGTCGCTGTGTCTACCCGCGCTGCCATTGCCATGGAAGAAGTAAGATAAGGTTAGTTTTAAAGAAACCAACAGTTTAATGTATGCTCAACTCTAAAATGCTTTATTATTGTTTTATTCGTGCACAACCCATGCATAACCCAAGTTAACATATGTCAGATAGTTAGCTAGAACATCACGTAAATCGATTTAGGCTAGGCTACTAAAACAAACACCAAAACTTAACAGGAAGTGTTAATCTAAATTGTAGCAATTTTTGCTAAAAATCGATAGAAATCTGGAAACCTACACATTTCTAACCATGACCTTCTTTGGGTCTCAGTCAAGTTGCTGTTCTGAACTCAACAAGTCTTGGAAAATTACTGAGCAATTTAACCAATCAGAGGCAGCATTCTTATGATGTCATCAAGTAGACTTCTCAAAGTATTTTACAGTATTTTTAAACTACAAAATACAAAGCACTAAATTTTTGATACAACAGAAGGCCATTTTTATTAACCCTACCAAATACAAATTACAAAATCCAAAAATGTTGTATTTGAAATATAAATATCATAAATACTGCCCATCCCTGGCCTCTTTCTCTGAGGTCACATTGTTCACATTTACCAGCTCAGTTTGTCTGTCAACCGAAGGATCCTAACAGTGGTGGTGGTACCTCTAAACATGGGTGAACAAAGATAGACCTACATGTAAAAACAAAAGCCTAAAAAATGAAACGACACCAAAACCAAGATTTGGTTTAAATTCAAATCCTGGTTTCCCTCCTGGAAATGTGTGTCTAAACAAAGGGTGGATTCTAAAGTTACATCAATATTTTTACGTCAGCAACAGGATTTAATAAAACCAGGGATGGACATCTTTAGATGGGAGACTTTGCAAATTGTGGCAGGAAAAGCAATGAGGATAGCCTCAGATTTGTCTTGGCCAATGTAACTGCAGGTCATCCGAGCATTAATATCTAGATCCAGGGAAGAGGGGCATCGCTGTGTGAGGCACAGGCTGATCACTTAGTGGACGGACTGGCAACATCATTGTAACAATAGGAGGTGTCCAGTGTGGAGATGTTAGGCTTGGGCAGTGGCAACGGATGAAAAATTTAGGATTATCTCATCCTTGCTCACACTTAATGTAAAACTTTTGGCAATATAGTGTACATCTACACACTTTATGCAGAGACACACACCTTAAATGCATAGGTTGTGTGGTAGCATAACTTATCTTTGCTCCACGGCATCTTGTCAGATGTGTGAGTCGTGTCCTCCATCTTGCTTCTCCTTTGTGTTAACTTTCCGTGTCCACCATCTTAAATTCTCATGTGACGCAGCCACTCACTGAACGACTTCTGACATGTTGCTTTCTCTTTCTCAAAACCCTGTCATTCTCTCCCATGCACATACACATCCACATGTGCCACACATTTGCATGCTGCCTTTATGCTTGTTGTAGTTGAAACATTATTCATTGTTGATCAATGTTGCTAAAGTTAAATCAATTCAATTGCACGTGATTTTTTTTGTGCATTTGTTGTGATAACAGCTGGTTGTAACAGTCTGTGCTCGGATTCAACCCTTCACTGTTCATCTTAAATATTGCCAATTTTACACCCCTTTTTGACCCTGCATCCAAGGTTCAGTGGTTGGTCCCTGATTCCAGGGTGGTACCCCGTTATTTTTAACTCATTATTAATAGTAGTAGTCTGCTCCTGTCCTTTTTGGTGGCAGATCCAAACCAGACAGTGATGGAGGTGCAGAGAACAGACTGGATGATGGCTGTGTAGAACTGGATCAGCAGCTCCTTAGGCAGGTTGAGCTTCCTGAGCTGGCGCAGGAAGTACATCCTCTGCTGGGCCTTCTTGATGATGGTGTCAGTGTTGGGCTCCCACTTCAGGTCCTGTGATATAGTGGATCCCAGAGAGTCGAGGTGTTGCAGGATGTGATGCAGTCCCAAGTTGACTGCATCATCCACTGACCTGTTAGCCCTGTAGGCAAACTTAAATTTAAATATATATTTGTATATAAATGTTGACATGTATATAAACTTTCTATGAATGGTGTGCATATAAAATTGAAGTTAAGTTGATGTGATCTGGTGCAGGAGTGGGTTAGCCAACAAGCAGCTAAGTTTTTGATGTATTGTAGTTTGGTGGATGAACTGTGCAGAATGGCGTTGCAGTTATGTCTACTGCAATTTCAAAAAAACAGACCTTTTCAGGTGGCTTTCCGCCATAGACTTAGCATTAGAAAATTGCTCTTGACATATGGCCCGTTTAGGATTGGGTTTTCACAGGTAATCAAACAACTGTGTGGTAA